CACACCTTATAAATTTTTCATTTCACATGCTGAATACTATCATTTAGTTAAAATAAAAATTTCAGAAAAAAAAGAAAATACATCGTCCCGGAATCGAACCGGGATCTCCCGCACATGAAGCGAGAGACTTACCACTACGCCACGAAGCCTCTCTATACCCTCTTGTTTATTTAAACTACTAGTATATACAAAGATGAAGTCACATACATGTATATATTTTCAATTTAATACAATGCATTGTGTCTAATTTAACCTTTATTAAACAGATCTAATAGATGTAATAAGAATATAGAGTCCGCCGAGAACCTGTTTTATACGTAATAACTCTCCTCATGTCCCTGTGCTAAAAATAGCGACATGTAATACAATAAATACTTCTAAAACAAACAGGGCGGGACACTTTTAGAGGGTTGAGAGAGGTCTTAGGGACTTTTGGTATAAAATTCAATTGCAAAAGCTCAAAATCTTCTTGAAATATCGCCCGGAAAAGAAAGTGTTACACACAGTCAGATTGTATATATTTACGACCTTGAACTTTGACCTTTTGACCTCAAAATCAATAGGGGTCTTCCTTAGGCCATAGGAAGTTGTTATGTAAAATTTCATGACAAAAGCTCAAAGGGTTCTCGAGATATCGTGTGGAAACGAAAGTGTTACAACAGACAGAATTTGCGAATTTATGACCTTGAACTTTGACCCTTTGACCTCAAAATCAATAGGGGTCTTCTTTAGTCCATAGGGAGTTGATATGCAAAATTTATTGCGAAAGCTCAAAGGGTTCTCGAGATATCGTGTGGAAACGAAAGCGTTACAGACAGACAGAAAGACGGACAGACGGACGGACGGACGGACGGACAGACGGACGGACGGACAAACCCAAATTAATATCCCCCACTTTTCAAGCGGGGGACAAAAAGTCATGCATTCAGTTGTACTGGAGGGGGTGCGGTCACTTGTTTAAAAAACATTGCAAATCATAAAAAAATGACAATGAAAAAATATTTATTAAACTTATTACACCACAACAAATGAAAAAATGAACGCAAAATTTAACATTATTCGCGTTGTCAGTTGTTTAGGCATTTATAGTTAAAGTTTTAAAGGGGGGGGTGTGAATAGGTAATGTGTCGTATTGCGTTTTTATTTAATATGATTTTTAAAATAATGATTTAAAATGCTACTTGTGAATATTTTCTATCCGTTTTACTCACATTCCAATCAATAGTATAAACGTAAATAGTATGCAAACGATTTGCTTCCTGGTCGATTCTTCTTCGTTAGATCTAGTGTGGGGCTCAAAACGAAAGGGTTCTACTCCCAAATTTTTTTTTGTACTATTGCACAGCAATGAATCTTCATCAAAACTTGACGATCCACAAGAAATTTCTAGCGATTCCTTCTCTAACGGCCTATCAGAATTATCTGAAACAGAGTTTTCTGTCATTTTTGTCCCCCGCTTGAAAAGTGGGGGATATTAATTTGGGTTTGTCCGTCCGTCCGTCCGTCCGTCTTTCTGTCTGTCTGTAACGCTTTCGTTTCCACACGATATCTCGAGAACCCTTTGAGCTTTTGCAATGAAATTTAGCATAGGAACTCCCTATGGACTAAAGAAGACTCCTATTGATTTTGAGGTCAAAAGGTCAAAGATCAAGGTCATAAATAAGCAAATTCTGTCTGTTAAAAGACTTTCGTTTCCACACGATATCTCTAGAACCATTTGAGCTATTGCAATGAAATTTTATATAACAACTCCCTGTGGCCTAATGAAGACCCCTATTGGTTTTGAGGTCAAAAGGTCAAAGTTCAAGGTCGTAATTTTATACATTCTGTCTGTGTGTAATACTATTATTTCCGGGCGATATTTCAAGAAGATTTTGAGCTTATGCAATGTAATTTTTTATCAAAGCTCCCTAGGACGTCTCTCACCCCTCTCAATGTGCCCCGCCCCGTTTGTTTTATTATTATTTATAGTATTACATGTCGCTATTTTTAGCGTAGGGGCATGCGGAGAGTTATTGCGTATAAAACAGGTTCTCGGCGGACTTTGTGTTCTTATTACATCTATTAGAACTGTTTAATAAAGGCTAAATAAATCAAACACCATGGATTGTGTAAAATTATGAGAATACCGAACATAAAAACATGAATATATACATGTGTGTGACTTCATTTCTGCATATACTTCACATCGAGTATAGCGATTCCGTGGTCTAGTGGTTATGTCTCTCGCTTCAAATGTGAGAGGTCTCGGGCTCGAATCTCGGGCGAACCTTTTTTTTTTTTTTTTTTTTAAATACCCCCTTTTTTTTTTTACTAAATGATAGTATTCAGCATGTGAATTGAAAAATTTATGAGGTTATAAAATCATCATTACAGTGTGATAAAAATTCCATATAAAAAAATCTTCTATACACATAATGAAGAATAAGCAATGAAATCTTTATATGCATATTGACATACATGTATTTTATTTGCTTCAGTATACATGTATACATTTAATAATTCTACAAATTCAGTCAGGAGGAGCCGACTTTTTCCCTAAGCGGGGGACACGAATTCTCTGAATTAGCTTGTTCACCTCTCACTTGAGGGAAGCGAGACACGCTTGTGACGTCATTGAACTTCCAGGGATGCATTTAAGGTAGGATTCTTATCATGTTTCTAATATTTAAAAATTAATGAAATTTTCACAGAATCAAGAAGACAATATCAGTAAGTGATAGTATCAGTGAAATAAAATTTGACCATTTTATACTAGCGGCAAGGTCAGGTCAAGGTCATTATCTTTTTCCTTGACATTAAGAATAAAAAAATACTGTTGCCAATCATGTTATACCTACTTCTATTTCAAAAGTTTAAAGATTGTTCTTTTTGCATAGAAACATATTACTATATCGGGTCTATAGCACGATATTACCAAATTTACATAAATGATTTAACTAAACTGGAAATAGGCTAATCCGAATTTTCTCTGTTTTTCTTAATTTTTTAGGATATATTAGTTATTTTCATATGCTTTCTATATTTAACTTTTTCTTATTTTCACATATAATAAAGTAGTCTTATAAATGTACAAAATGATACAAAAACAAGAGGTTTCGATCGTTTAATTAGAGAGAAAAAATACTTTTTATGGATTTTGGGCTCAAATCTGCACTTTGATGGGAAGCATTTAAATGCTAACATAGTTCTAGTTTGTTTGAAAATATATATTATTTGATTTATTTTGAAAGTTTAGTCCCTTATTATTAATTTAAGTCACATTTGAAAATTTCTCAAAGTCTTCGATTGTGTAAAACTTTCTATTTAAAGTTGTACAATTGTGATGAGGAAAGAAAAACATGGTCTTTTAAATTCCTTAAACCTCAATATATAAAACATATTAGCAAATATACTTAGAATGTTTCATCTAGTCAGAAACCAGAGAAGAATCCTACCTTAAAACGAAAGTGACATTGTCAAGGATTATCGATCGTTTTCACAGGTGCAAATGCAGACGTTCAATATTGATTATCTTTGAAACGGCAGTACCGATTTTAGTCGGGTTTTCGCCAAAATGTTTTATAAAGCAGGTTTAGTAAAAGTAACTTGGCCTGTCTTTAATGTAAATTGCCTTTTTGTCCCCCGCTTTCGCGAAAGCGTGGGGACATTAAATCTTATTTGTCTGTCTGTCTGTCAGTCTGTCTGTCTGTCCGTCCGTCCGTCACAAAAACTTTAACCTTGCCCATAACTTTTGATTGAGTGGACCTATGACTTTCATATTTCACACGTGTATTCCTTGTGACAAGACTTTTCTTTGGGTACCACCAAATTTGACCTTTTGACCTTGGAGTTTGACTCACTTTTACACTAAAATTTTATTTTTATTTTTTTTATTTTGGGCATCACTTTTGAATGGTAGATACTAGGACTTTTATAGTTCACATATATATTGTTTGTGGCAAGACCTTTCATTGGATATCAAGAACTTTGACGTTTTGACCTTGACCTTGGAGATTTCTGTTCTTATGAAAAAACATTAACTTTGGCCATAACTTTAAAACGGTAAGGACTAGGGCTTTCATACTTCATATATATAATTCGTGAGAGAAGTCCTTTCATGGGATAACAAGAACTTTGACCTTCTGACCTTGACCTTGGAGTTTGGCCCACTTTTTGAAAAAATTAACCTTGGCCATAACTTTTGTGAAGGGTAAGGGCTAGGGTTTTCATACCTCATATATTTAATCCTTGTGACAAAACCTTTCATTTGATATCAAGCACTTGCACCCTTTGACATTGATCTTGGAGTTTGACCTACTTTTTAAAAGATATAACCTTGGCCATAACTTTTGAATGGTAAGGGCTAGGGCCTTCATTCTTCACCTAAGTAATCCTTGTGAAAAGACCTTTCACTGGATACCAAGAACTTTGACCCTTTTACCTTGACCTTGCAGTTTGATCTACTTTTTAAATTTGAGTACCAATATATTTAATTTACATTTAAAAAAAGTTTAATCTTCGCTTTGTTGCCATATACAGGTCATCAACATATAAATCAACTTTGATAATTTATTAATGACATATGATAGGGCGTTTATATTTGACATCTCACCCACAAAGACCCCGAAAGCGGGGGACCACAATTCTTTGAATTCTTGTTACAACTTAATTTAAAAAGATTGTGTTTTATTTAGATAAAACATTGACCAAGAAAAAAAATCGACCAGTGGGATTTGTCTTTTTATCTTAAAGGAACACGCTTAAACATCAGATATTTTAAAATATCCACGATAACGATTAGTACAGTAGCACAGATTTATGTTTAGATATGTAAAACTGTATATAATTCTTTTATTTACACGTTTATTAAAATAATGATAAACATGTATACTGCTTTAAAATTTATGTTTTTATTGAATGCAATTACAGTGTTGAACATACAAAAGAAACTTAAAAATTTCCTTTTAAACATACATAAACTTATCAAATGCACGGACAGATATATCCTTGATATAGTAGTATATTTCCTTGTTGTAAAGGCTTTTAACGGTTTGGAAATGGGGTATCTTATCGTGTTGTTCCTTTTAAATATATTATCAATACACGGATATGGTAAGTCCTTTTTATTTTGTGTAAATTAGATCTGAACAAGCTAATTCAGAGAATTCGTGTCCCCCGCTTAGGGAAAAAGTCGGATCCCCCTGACTGAATTTGTAGAATTATTAAAAGTATATATATACATGTATACTGAAGCAAATAAAATACATGTATGTCAATGGGGAGGAATGGCTGTGGAAGTATGAATGAGAACGGTGAATACTTCACAGAATTCTGTGGAAACAACAACTTAGTCATTGGTGGAACACTGTTCCAACATAAAGAGATACACAAACTTACATGAGTGTCACCTGGAGGGAGAGATAAAAACCAAATTGACCATATTGCCATCAATGGAAAAGATCTTTACAGGATGTAAGAGTGAAGCGTGGGGTTGATGTTGGAAGTGATCACCACCTTGTTACTGCCAGCATAAAGCTTAAGCTGATGAAGGTAGCGCCAAAAAGCAACATCAGGCGAATAGATACAAGCAAGCTGAGAGAAAATAAAGTGAGGCAAGATTTTAGATTAGAGCTAAAGAACAGATTTCAAGCCTTTCAATGTGGTGATGTTGATACTGAAGCGGTTGACGAACACTGGAGTGAAATCTGCAACCTGTTCAGTGAATCAAGCAAGAAGTGTCTAGGGTTTAAGAGGCAAGTGCATAAGGAGTAGATTACACCAGATACTTGGAATATCATTGACAGAAGGAAAGACCTTAAAACTAAGCTATGTAACACCCACTCTGAAAGAATAAAAGAGAGCAATATTCCAACTGCAATAGAGATGTGAAGAAAGCAACAAAGAAAGATCGTAACAGTTTTATAGCAGGCATAGCAAGAGAAGCTGAGAAAGCTGCTTCTGAACAAAGAATGGGAGATCTATATCAAATAACAAAAAAGTTGAGTGGAAAGAAAAGAAAAACAAACATGCCTGTGAAAGACAAGCAAGGCAACCTCATTACATCCGAAAGGGAACAAGATGAAAGATGGAGAGAACATTTTGAAGAAGTGTTGAATCGCCCGGAGCCTAACGAACTGGCACACATACCGGAAGCTGACACTGACTTAGAAATTGAAACAGAGGTACCATCTAAAGCTGAAATACTCAAAGCAATAACAGCCCTTAAGAACAACAAAGCATCTGGAAATGACCAATTGCCAGCAGAGCTATTCAAAGCAGACCCATACCTTGCAGCAGACATCTTACACTCATTATTCACAAAGATCTGGAATAGTAATACAATACCAACGACAAAGGAAATATCATTAAAGTGCCAAAGAAGGGAGATCTTACTAACTGCGATAACTGGAGGGGCATCACATTACTATCAATACAGAGTAAGATTTTCAGCAGAATAATTATTGACAGGATTAAAACTGCAATAGATGCCAAACTAAGACAAGAACAAACAGGTTTTAGGAAAGGGAAAAGTTGTTGCGACCAGGTGTTTACCCTGCGAAATATTATAGAGCAATGTACAGAGTGGCAAAGGCAGCTTATAATAAACTTTATAGATTTCAAAAAAGCCTTTGACAGTATCCACAGGGAAAGTCTATGGAAGATCTTAAGACATTATGGAATACCATCAAAGATAGTAGAACTGATAAAAGCTTTTTACGTGGAGTTTAATTGCTCTGTAGGCAGCTCATCAGATGCATGCTTCATAGTAAAATCTGGCGTGAGGCAGGGATGTGTGATGTCAGCTTTCCTTTTTATAATAGCAATTGACTGGGTAATGAAATCAACCCTAGATGGAAATAACACAGGAATAAGATGGACACTCTTTACCAATCTTGAAGACCTAGACTACGCAGATGACTTGGCCCTACTATCACATCTGGAAAAGCATATGCAAAGTAAAACATCAAAATTACAGAGAAATGCAGAAAAAATTGGACTAAAAATCAATACCAGGAAAACTGAAGTTATGTCATTAAACATCATACAACCAGCAAGAATACAGGTTGATGGAAACGACTTGGGCAACACAACAACATTTACCTATCTTGGCTGCATAGTAACATCCGATGGGGGTGCAGACAAAGATATAAAGGCCAGATTAAGTAAAGCCAGAGGTGCCTTCATCAGCCTCAAGAACATCTGGAAAACAAGCGACATAAGTAGAAGGACAGAAATGAGAATATATAACAGCTGCGTACTGTCTGTCCTACTCTATGGGTCAGAATGCTGGAGAATGACAGAAGGAGACATATGCAAACTATCTAGTTTCCACAATGGTTGCCTCAGAAAGATCATGAGGATTTTCTGGCCAAACAAAATTACAAATGTGGAACTACATGAGAAGGCCAACACAGACAATATGCGAACTTTGTTGACAAAAAGGAGATGGCGATGGATAGGGCATGTGTTGAGGAAACCAGCCGAATGCATCACCAAAGTAGCCCTTAGATGGACACCGGAAGGGAAGAGGAAACCTGGTCGGCCAAAGAACACCTGGCGAAGGACCGTTGAAAAAGAAATGAGAGACCACAAGCTAACGTGGGGAGAGTTAGAAAGTAATGCTAAAGATAGAGAGAAGTGGAGAAATCTAGTGCTTGCCCTATGTGCCCACGGGCATAATAAGGACTAGGTAGGTAGGTAGGTATGTCAATATGCATATAAAGATTTGATTGCTTATTCTTTATCATGTGTGTAGAAGATTCTTTTTATATGGAATATTTATCACACTGTAATGATGATTGTATAACCTCATAAATTTTTCATTTCACATGCTGAATACTATCATTTTGTAAAAAAAAAGAAAGAAAAGTATTTTTAATAAAAAAAAAGGATCGATCGAGATTCGATCCCGCGACCTCTCACATGTGAAGCGAGAGACATACCTCTAGACCACGGAATCGCTTTCACATGCAGTCAAGTATAAATTATGCAGAACTGAAGTCACATACCTGTATATATTCATGTTCGGTATTCTCAAAATTTTACACAATCCATGGTGTTTGATTTATTTAGCCTTTATTAAACAGTTCTAATATATGTAATAAGAACATAAAGTCCGCCGAGAACCTGTTTTATACGCAATAACTCTCCTCATGTCCCTGTGCTAAAAATAGCGACATGTAATACTATAAATACTAATAAAACAAACGGGGCGGGCACTTTGAGAGGGGTGAGAGAGGTCCTAGGGAGTTTTGATATAAAATTATATTGCATAAGCTCAAAATCTTCTTGAAATGTCGCCCGGAAATGATAGTGTTACACACAGACAGATTGTATAAATTTACGACCTTGAACTTTAACCTTTTGACCTCAAAATCAATAGGGGTCTTCTTTTGTCCATAGGGAGTTGCTATGCTAAATTTCATTGCAAAAGCTCAAAGGGTTCTCGAGATATCGTGTGGAAACGAAAGCGTTACAGACAGACAGAAAGACGGACGGACGGACGGACGGACAAACCCAAATTAATATCCCCCACTTTTCAAGCGGGGGACAAAAATAGGGTTAACCAGTATTTAGCTCTAAAAGATTCAAATACTTGTTTAAGTATTTTAATATAATGAATGATAAATTTATAAAAAGGAGGCTCGTGGCCACATTGCACACTCGAGCATTGTGGCTAGGAAAAGGCATAAAACCACATAAATAACGGAAAGACTTTTCTTAATTACAAACACTTTTTTCTATTATAGATATATTTAACTGCATTGGATTGAATATTTCTGCATCTTATAGATAATTTATCAGAGGGAAAGCATTCTATACAGAGTTCAACGTGGATATGTCCTCCACAAAATTGCTACTTTTATGCAGCAAACAACGCAGTTGATGGAGACATCAGTACCTGTATGAGAACTGACACGTTCGGTACGACCTCTTCACACAAAACGGTGTGGTGGAGAGTAGACCTCGGAGACATTAAGAGTATCTACAGTATCAGGATACAGTTTAGAGATTTCGGACAAGAATACTGTATGTAGTGATTACATATGATGAATATTAAAAAGGATGTTTTTGGATTTTTCGATCATTTTTTAAAGTTTCTTAGGAAGATAATAGTCATATTAATGTAATTCGCAATCAATTTGCTCAGCTTCAAGGTTAAAGGATGAATTAATTTGTTGAATTAGTTTTGGCCTCTAATACAATCGAAACCCTCATTCATTACATATACTTGATGTTGAATATAAATACCAATTCAATGATTACCTAGTACCAAATCAACAAATACAAGGTGACAATTTCAAATTATAATGAAACTAGTCATAATTTGTTTGCCTAAAATCTAAAGGGAAGGTTATTTTTTTCTATTTGCATTTATTCTCAAAATTCTATTTTGCCTGTCTTGTTTTGATAATATCGTTAAAAGACGTTTCCAAACTTTAAATCTGGGCTTTCTTTCAATAGGATCTAGACTGACGTAATGTATCGAAGAACTGATTTTTGCAAATGGCCCATTTTAAAACAAAAATATATTTTATTAAATTCTATTTAAAAATATAGGCTTGATACGCTGTAGTAAACAATTTTTCCACAAAGGTCAAATTTAAGATTCTAAGTACTCAATTTAATTTGAAAACTTAGTCTAGTTTTTGAGTATTTAGTTTCTCCTATTTTTAGATGTCTCAGTAAACTCGAAATAAAAAACATGTTAAAAATATATTATGATTTACTGATGAAAAACGTGTAAATGTACGTGTAACACATTTAGACATATTTAAAGATAAATTTTTAGATGATCGTCAAAGAGGACGATTGGCGGGGTTTTCTCTATATGTGTCTAATACAACAGACATACAGAACAGCTACTTGTGTTACAAAGACGGACCAGAATTACCTCCGTTGGATTTTATCAATATCTGTTCCATTCATGGACGTTATGTTACATTTTACAATGAAAGAAATAAGATTTCATATCCCACCGGTTACCAGACAACAACTGTTATAACAGAGTTATGTGAAGTCAGTGTGAATGGTAATATTTTACAACTAAATCTATCTATTAGAACAAACTACACTAATTAAGCCCTTTGTATTTTTTATATTTTTCATACAAACATTTTTTCTGTATTACAAGGTTGTCAAAAAGATGGACTTTATGGTCAAAACTGTGATTTTGCATGCCCTTCACAATGCCAGGACAAACGATGTCATATAAGAAACGGAACCTGTCTTGGTTGTAAAGCGGGCTGGATGGGGGATTTCTGTAACAAAAGTAATATTCCATATTTTCTGCGCATGGATTAGGAAATAAACTGAGACATAATTTTAAAAAGGCCATTTACAAATTAAATATTAAATCAAACTGCCATCTGAAATATAAATGAATATACAATGTATAAGTGAAGAAATTTGAAAAACTTTACCAACCCTACGGTATTTGTTCGCCTTGGTAAATTTTAACAAATATATAAAGATTCTGTCTTTTTAAAGTTTTTAATAATTTCTGGAGTCTTCGGCTAATCTAGTTTTAAATATACCGGGGAACAACTTAATGAAGTTTTTTTTATATTCAATAAGCTTGTATGTTTGGATACTATGGTATGGAGTGTAAATCTAGGTGTACAGGTCATTGTCTTGGTGGTGCTTCATGTAATCATATAAGTGGAAAATGCGAACATGGATGCGAGGAAGGAGGGATGATACCCAATTGTGATCAACGTAAGTCTATCGTTTCATATTGAGCTGAAAATTAAAATACCAATATTAAGAAAGCTATTTCACTTGCATCCGATTTCCACTCAAGTGAACTTAGGATTCGGGCAGATTAAATCTGAGGTTCAGGAATTTGTTTAGTACGAGTGCAAGGAGCCTTACAACTCAAACCTTTTCCAAAATGGTTTTATTTATAAAGTTTAAAACGCTAATGGAGGTCACTCATATACTGGTTTGTAACCTTCCTTAACCACAACTTAAGAAACTGCTTTAGAAATTTGTTTCATTTAATCAATAAATCATAGAACAGTTATTGTTTAAAAACCTTGCAAAAAGAAAGAATGTTTTCCATTTTAAAGATTATTGGTAATGGACTGCATTATGTATCTGAAAATGTGTGATGATGAACGGTATATAATGTTTTATTTGGTCTATTCTTCTGGCAAAAACATGATTAAAATGTTAATTTACCTTTACATTTTAAGCAAAGGTTATTTTGCTAGACCTATAAATGTTTTCTTTTTTTGCAATTTAATGCACACACATACAAATCATGTATATCAGCGTTAAGTCCGAATGCATTGCTAGACTTTGTAATCAGGGTGGAATTTATATGAGCAAGGTATGGAGGTCAAAGTGTTTAGAAGAAGGAGAAAAAATCCAAAACACCACGAAATATTAAATTTCTCGAATTTAGATATTTTGTTTTCCAGAGACATAAAAGTAACTAAGGTTAACAATTTATCATTGAATTTGGGAGAATTTTGAAACTGGATCTGTTTTCTTTGCAAAGCCTTGATACGTTCATATTTATTTTTTCTTCTGCTGTGTCCTAGAATTGGTAATGGTCATTGTTAACTTAAATGTCTCAAAATTCAAGGCCATGCTTAAAGTTTCTTATTATGACAAAGTTATCAATTCAAAAATAAATTTAAAATAACTGTGAATGTAATTTGATTCACAAACTAATATTTTTTGTCTTTTTGTTTTATTTTAAGCATGTCGGGACGGATGGTATGGACCTAATTGTGTATATAAATGCAGCAGTCATTGCAAAAACAACTTACCATGTGACCAGGCAAGTGGGAAATGTGAAAGTTGTGCACCTGGATACGTTGGAACACTTTGCAATAATTGTAAGTATGATTCGCATTTTTATAACATCAAAGTGAATTATTTACAAACTTTCAAATGATTCCTGTAAGAAAAGCGTTTTTATCAAAATATATCAGAAAGGATATTTTTTTTTTTGCATAATTGTACTTATATTCTTTCATTTAAAAATGTATAAAACGTATATATTAACTTGTTTCTTTCAGCGTGTTCAGAAGGTACTCATGGCCAAAATTGTTCTGAGAATTGTAATACCAAATGCCGAGGTCAAAGCTGCTCTCCTGTAAATGGATTTTGCAATGAAGGATGTGAAGACGGATACCAGGGAAACACCTGTTCGGAAAGTATGTCAATCAATCAACTGCAATCAGACAGAATAATACTGTATTAAAATATTTTTTGGGAGATTGCTTACACATGCATGCAATTATTAAAGGTTTATCATGAAGTTAATATCAAATATATACCTAGTCATGAACATCAAAATAAAACTCGCATGCATATTTTTCAAAAAAAAAAAAAAAAAAGAGCTTGAGTCAGAAAGTACACAAATTCGCCTGTTTTCAAAATAGGACAATTTTGCCTCTAGACATATCTACAGACTGTATATTTTTTCGAACCAACTTTCTTTTTTCAATATCTCTTTCATATTTTCCGTAAGAGGTCTTCAAAATAGCAAATGTATATGACCGAATTTCGTACATTTTAAGGAACGTCATAATGACGTGAATTTTAACACTTCTGAGTTCTCATAAATAAAGTGGTAAATATTTATTAATTGATTAGAATTTCACAAAAATTGATTTTACAGATAGTACTTTCATATTTTGTTAATAAAAGATAACTTAATTTGAAATTATAACGTCGAGGGTAAACAAGCATAGGTACATGTACAAGTGAAAATGACAGCGTGTCCGTTCAGCACCCGTGTGTTTACCGCGGTACACGTAAATAATTAAATACATTGTAATTAACGTTTCATTATATATTGACATTGATAATGTTTAAGAATAATAAATTCATTAATAAATTACATAAACTTGATGCATTTGATATTTTAATCAACCTGTATGTATTGTAAAGCGCTTTGAGTAGCATTTATGCTAGAAAAGCGCTATATAAATCCAATCATTATTATTATATAAAGCCAAGTCCAGGAACGAAGCAACCCGGGGGATGTTAAATGTTAAAATGAAAATAGTACTGGTCACACAATTGATTGCTCCCATGGGAAAAGGGACCTTTTTAGCAGTTTTTATGCATTTTGAGTTTTTCACGGATTTTGATAGAGTAAGGTTAAAAGTTGTCAAATATGAATTTTTTTGGTCCTACGTCTACCCTAAGTAGGTTTTTTTTCTTCATTTTAATCAAAGATACTTTAACAAGTTCATAATGACGTCATGTTTTTTCAACAACGTCAAACGTTTTCAGAGTGAATTAATGTAAAATGATTTTCTTTTGCAAATTTATTACGCAGTACAGTTAAGGCTGTTTAAAATTAAAACTACGTTTAACGTCACCCGCGCGCGTAGGTTTATGAGAAATTCGTCTTTGAAAAAAACAAACAATTCGGAATTCCGTATGTCTGTTCCGGTTTGGTTCTACAATTAGCGACTGAATTCTGCTTCCCGTAGTGACAGAAAATGTGCTTTGATAAAGGCAGTTGGTGTCTTATTAAAGAAAACTAGTGAATTAAAGAGTTTGGGACCATAAATGTAAGTAAAAAAAGGTGATTTTATGATTGAAGTTAATGACAAAGTCTAGTTTGTTGATTTTTTTGTCAGTCTTCGAATCACATGTTCAAACTGACAGTGACAGACTCTCAGTTCGTGATTCTACTGGCTGAACTTTTCATTGTATTTTGGAGAGAATCGAAAAACTTTTTTACCGAGTGGAAAGTGTGTCAAAAAACCAAGATCTATATACAGTGAAAAGCATCATTCAAATCTTATTTGATATGTTTCATATTAAAAATATTTCTGTAAAAATCGAAAGGAACAGTAATGAGTAAAGTAATTGATTTCTTCATAATTCATATACCTACAAATAGCTACAATTTTTGGAAAAGATAGTACTTGTCTTAACCATTTGAGCAGGGAGAAGCTAACCGAAGATAGGGCCTTTCAAGTGAAGGAGAGTAAGGAAAGAAGTAGGGGTATTCCAAGACGTGAAGAATCCTGTCCTTAGTGTGGAATTCAAGGTATTAAAAATAATCTAACAGCTATCATTATGGTCCAGATATTAGTATTCACACTTTCAAAACTTAATGCTTATAGATGTAGTACTAAGAAAAAATACAACATAATTCAATTTGAGATATTTCAACATGATCAGTTTTAAATATTGTCATCAATAATTTTAATTGAAGATATTGATCAACTATTCCCATAAGAAGAAGCATTTGCCTCCAGAGTACCATGGACGTGTGGCAGTATAAATCCAAAGGACAATTGAAGCCTAGATAAAAGTCACTTTCCTGCACATTCAGTCTTAGAATACATTGTTTGCTAACAATAGGACTCAAACTGATTTACATACTTAGAAAAATATCTGCTTTGGAAATTTATCTTAGGTGTCTTATCAATTAAATGCTCTTCATTACTTAATTGTAATGTTTTTAATGTAGTGAATAGGTTAGTTTGAATAAATTCACAATTGTTTGAAAATTTTGTTTGTTTATTTTTTTCCTCCCTCCCTCGTAGGTTTTGAAATTTAGATGTGACGTTAAACGTAGAATTAAATTTAAACAGCCTAAGGCAACACATGAAAAAAATATGGTAATGAAGTCATAATGAGGTCTGACGTCATGACAGTTGCTCCGCCCTGATTGATCCATATAAGGAAATGGTGCTCAAAATATCAATTTACCGATATTTGCAAGAATTTGTAATAAACAGCAATATCTTCATGTTGAAATAGAAAATAATTAGTGATTTTCTCTTATATATAATAGCATGTCTTTAAAATAATTCTCTTTTAATTGTGTCGTTTGTCTGCATTCGGCTTCAGCCAAGCGCTTGCACTCGGTGACACGGAATGTTGTTTACATCTAAAAACGTGGCGACATCAGCTGAGATTTGCAGTGGATTTAAATGCAATAACCACACAATCTTCAAAGAAAATAGGGATAAAATTAGAGACACGGCATTGTTTCTTCCTTTTACGAGAATATGAGGACATTATTTCGGAAAATAGCAGAAAACTGAGACGATATGCACCAGCTCCGTAGATCCATCACTGCACTGAAATTCCAGGCCAGGTAGGCTCCTATGTATACGCATATGTAGGTACATGTGTAGATCTACAATATGTAGACATGCTTTTGTTAACATAAAAAACCCGAGTGTGCTCATGTTCATTTCACATCATATCACAGTCAGTGAAAAACTGTAATGCAGTGCCTTGTGTGTAACCACCCCCCCCCCCCATACTAAGTTGCACACTTTTTAGAATTATTAAAAATTAATTGCACTAAATATGTACTGAGTTCCTGTCAATTAGCTCATTTTCTTTGAGACAATATGTGTAATAATGGAGGTCATCAGTAACAAAAATTTAAACTAAAATAAATTAAATGAGATGTTTTCATTGTTTCAGTCAATGATTCACTAGTGACTAGGCCTATACAAGCTATGGTGTCTTTTGACATATTACAAATACAGTATACACAATTTAAAAAAAATCAGTATCATTGTGTTGAAAACATAGAAGCCCCACTTCAGATCTATGGTTGTGATTTTCTAGAATTTCTAAAGTAATGAAAAAAATATTCATTTTTTGTTTAGATTACATGTACATTAAATTATTTATATAATATTTTTATCATTGTAGCTGTCAAGAGTATCAGGCTTAAAGAATGAATATATAAAAAATGCATCATTTCTCCACAGGGTATGTATACTTCTAAAGCATTTCACATTTTTAAAGTTTGCATGTACTTTACATTTATTTTCACTTTGGTAAAGGAGAAACTCCGATAACTATTGTACTAAATGTCAGAAGTTTCACTTTCCCAGAGAAGTTTTGTGACACATTTTTTTTTCCATTTATATGAATTACATAAATTCACTACAGTATACAATGTAGCATAGTTTTTTGTAAAATATAATTCCATTTTATTCTACAATGTATATTTAGTAATTTCATAGCATATAACTGCATATTATATTGTATGGAACGCCGTCACTGCCTTATAGCAGAACACAACAATTGCATTGCGTCATCCTTCCATTACATTATGTCACCACTTTATGACATTTACTCACACTGCTATTGCATTGTGTCAACCTTCCATTACATTATGTCAACTCTTTATGATATTTACTCACACTACTGTTGTATTGTGTCAACCTTTCATTACATTATGTCAACTCTTTATGATATAAACCCACAATACTATTGCATTATCTCAACCTTTCATTACATTATGTCAATTCTTTATGACATTAACCCACAATACTATTACATTATGTCAACCTTCCATTATATTATGTCAACTCTTTATGACATTAGTTCACACTACTATTGCATTGTGTCAATCTTTCATTACATCATGTCAACTCTTTATGACATTAACCCACAATACTATTGCATTATGTCAACCTTCCATTATATTATGTCAACTCTTTATGACATTAGTCCACACTACTATTGCATTGTGTCAATCTTTCATTACATTATGTCAACTCTTTATGACATTTACACACACTACTATTGCGTTATGTCAACTTTCCATTACATTATGTTTAGTCTTTATGGCATTAATTCGCACTTTAATTACATTGCGCCAATCTTCCATTGCATTATATCAGCTCTTTATGACATTAAGTCAAAACAATTTTACGTGGTGTAAAGATGTTTGTATATAATTTCAACTCATTATTACATTATGTGCATTCTCTACTATTTGGTCTAAGTAGTTCATTACATGATGTGAATTTTCCTTTAATTCAATATCAAGTCGATATAACACGATGTCAGAATTTCATTACATGATCTGAACAAATTGTCACATGTGGCCAATTCTTTACTACATTGTGTCATCAATATGCTACAGGACGACGGGAAGCTATTACATGATGTCAATTTTCCCTAATTTTCTGACAAATCATTATTACGTTATACCATTGTATCTTTACATTGTGTCTAAAATGGTTAGCCTCTTGTCAGTATATTTTAGAATATTTCAACTCTTTATTGTGTGACGTAAGGTTTAGGTTATGCCTAAAAGTTCGTTTTGTGTTTTCAATATTACATGCAAATATGTTAAACATGCAAATAATTTAAATTAAATATATCAAATATTAAATTATACACAAGACTTAGTAATTCCTTAATTAAATATCAGGTTAAAATTTATAAATAGGATCATGTTCCCGTGGAATCTTTATTGACGATTGTTTTTTTTTAACGTCGAAATTCAATGGCCGTTTAATCTCATAATTATCGCAAATCAATTAGTATGTGTAATGCAGCAATTTTTTTCATTTTATTTTGAAAAGTCCGAAACTTCTGATCGAACTACAAAACACTGTCCTAAGCTTTTTATCAGTCTTCAACCCTCCTTTAAAAAAAAAAGTGTAAACGCATCGCATTTCATACGTGCACCGATGTGTGGGTGGGGAGAGAGGGGATCCCTCCCTCTCATCTATAGTGACCAAAATATGCATGAAATTAATCAACTGGTTTTACTTTGTAGGACATTGCATTAGTTTTACATAAAGTTTAACTGAAACAAGTTGAAACGTTTTATATATAAAAAAAAAAACAAACGCTAAAGCCTGAGAGCTTCCAGGCTTTCACCCCCTGGTCCCCAACTTAGACACCATACCGTCCCTCTATAGCTACTCTTTTCAAGAACCAGTGAGGGACTGGTAGAATTTTGTAACAGAATTCTGGACCTGGAATGGTTGAAAAATGACTAGTTCCAGTGACGTTGCATCGTTTTTGAAAGTTGGGGGAGGTTTGTCAGCCAGGAAAAAAATAACGTCCAAACTCAAAAATCCTATTTGGGTGAAAGGGGGGGGGGGTCCAACTTCGATAGTCCTAAAAAAAATTCTCATACTTCAGCAAAAAGGTGGGGCGGAATTTCAATCCGCTTCAATGAACATTTTCTATGATAAAGTTATGTCGGAAAAAAAGAGGAAGCCAGACCCACCCACCCCCCTTATATAATGTGTCTCTAATTCGTCCTAATTAATCAGAACCCCCCCCCCCCCCTTCCCCGTCATGAAAACACGGTTATCAATTTTTACATAATGTAAATGTATTTTACAGCACGTAATGAACATTTGAATCAACATGATAAAGAGTTAACACAATATAAAGATATTCTTAAATCATATAAGAAAGATTTGACATAACGTAATTATATATCCACATCACGGAATGGAGTTTTGACATAATGTAATAAAGTGTTGATATAATATGGGACGCCGGGACTGTCTCCATAATATATGTTCACATTATGTTATAAACCTTTTTACATCACGTAATAAAGCACTGACATAAAGGTAAGATGTTTTCACCTAACATTGTGATGACCTCGGCGTAAAATAAAGATACATTTACATCACGTAATAATGCTTTGTTATTATAGAAATATACACTCACAAAAGGGAATGAACTTTGACTTAACGTAATGATAAATTTAATCATAGAACACAAGTAAAATGAAATTAACTTGACGTAATGCAATTTTGACCTCGCATATTAAAGAAATGAAATAATATAATGATACATTCATTTCACGTAATAAAGTATTAACACAATGTAAACATATTTTCACTTCACATAATGAACTTTGGACTTCAAGTTATAAAGTGCTGACATAATGGAAAAATGCGTTCACTCCATGTAATGCAGCATTGACATGATGTAAAGATATTTTTACAACACCCCATAAAAAATTGACATAACGTAAATATATGTTAACATCACGTAATGATAGATTGACATAATGAATGCATAGTTTTATGCTATAAGGCAGTGATGGCGTTCCATAATATTGTGTTGTAGGCATAGCTATTCCTGTGGACTAATGGATTTATTCAGACAGGAAGTTAATCTATCATTTAAGGAAAATGGTATACTCAATATTAGCTATAAACCATACAAAGTTTTGATAATAAAACTAACAGAAGAATTGAAAATATGTACATGTATATGCATTCTATGTTAAATGTTTCAATGCATTTTTTAATTTCATTTTTTAAAACACAAATTACTTTCAATAATGGTATTTCCTGATTTTCTCATATTTTCAGAATTCATTTTATCCACAAGAACATGAAGTGATGGAAATAATTTGCACCTGCCCAGCATTCCTAGGCCTACAGTCTATCATTGGATTTGAAAAGAAATGTTTATTTAATAAATTTTCTAGATAAACAAAATAATTTGACTTTTTAATTTATTTACTGTTCATGTGTTGAAAAGGCCATTAAGATTTGAAAATCTTAACTTGCATACTATTTTGTGTGGATGGTACTAATGTCCATAAAGATCTTATTTCCAGCATGTGCATTGTGTTCATTTATTTTTTAATAATATTTTTTTGAAAAAAACCCAGAAGACTAGCTATCCCCCTAATTGATTCAAAATAGGATAGGGGACCACCATTTGATTCTGAGGGAAAGGGGGGGGGGGCAGGCGAGTTTTTCCAGATTTTTTTTTATTTTCATGTCAATGAAGGACAGATTAATATTTATTTCCGATTAATAAAATGAAGGACAGATTATTTATTTATTTTCCCCTTAATTGAAAAGTCTAACATGAAAAAAAAAATGTTTAAAACTCGGAGATCACTGATCTGCAAGTATTTATTTCTAAAATCTGCCAGCCCCTCCCCTCGGAATAAAATGGCTGTCCCCTTGACAAATACAGGAGTATAACCCAATCCTTTCTCATTAGTTCCTCAAACTTAAAACTTAGTTTATATCCCTTAATTACCAGTAAGCGGTCTGAATAACCGTCTGATTGAAAGCGATCGTAGATCTGAACATGATCTCGTATGCAGAAAGAAAAAAAAATATGAACACAAGTTTGTGTACGATAGGCGTCGGAAGCAAATGAAAGGGGGCTAATTGAAAGGGGGAGTGGGCTTAACCAAAAGAAAAAAGGTAAATTCAAATGCCTACATTACGTATATAATTTGCAAATAAGTATAGAGGCTAATCCCCACCCCACCCCCCACCCCACCCCCGTTCCGACGCCTATGCGTACAGTAGTGTGAGAGGGGAATAGATATATAATTAATTATTAATGAAGGCTATATTTTAATTAACCATTTGTGTTCTCCTAAATATATCGGCAATATTTAGACCTGTTTGTATGTAATATACTACATGTATAAACACATCATTGAGGAAATGCGGGAGGTTTGAAAGACGTTTAATGTACACAATATATGGAGAACGAATACACAGAAAAGAAAGAAATGTCAACGATTTTTATGCATACCGTTTGATAAAGTTAAAAAAAGGAGTCCAGCCCTGTCCGCATGTATATTTATTTAAAATTTACGAGGTAAACAAACTATATCAAGTTCTCAAGAGTTATCTCCCATGCTGGGTCAATGATGCGTTTGAAAACTAAAATTAGATTGACTCTTCCAAGATTTCAATTTTTAATCAAAAAGTGCAAGGGCAAGGCGACAATCTAAAAAGTAGGTTTTTATTTTAAATTATTTATTTTACTGTATATTTTTTTAAAAATGATGCTCATTTCTTTGTAATCCTTCAGTTAATTTATAATTCGCGATGAAATTAGGAAAATATCCTGTTTTTCATACATTACTGTCTGTTTTAGCTGAATAACTTAATTATATCGAAAAACTAACTGAATGAGCATCACTTTTGAGAAAGTATAGATACATAGTGACAACATAAAACATTTTGCAGTTAATTTTTTGTTTGTCTTGCCCTTGCACTTTTTGGTTAAATTTGACATCTCATTTCTTCACCTAAAATCGGAGCCCACATGACTTCAGGGGGTCACATGATGTCAAAAATACCGATGTGAAAAGCGATGGACATACTCTTCAAGATAAGAAATAGCTATTTTAACTAGAGTGTCTTTATTCAAAAATAAAACTGTTAAACATTATATATGTATCGAATTCCGTTAGTTTTTATAGAAAATGTTGCCTTAACTGTACTGCGTACAGTAATTAATAGTTACATAATATTTAATATTTGCCCATGCACATTATTTTTTTTATCTCATTGTCTCTTTTAATTATTAATAATTATTTAATAGATACATGTATATACGTTATGGATTCAGCAGTGGTGTTTAGTATTATTACTTTTTTATGACATCAGGGGAAAACCCGAACAGCTAGCGAGCGACATCCATTCAGTCTTTTTGGAAAAAATTATGTTCCGCAACAAAATATTTACTAATTTAAACATTGCTCTCAATAGGTCAAGATGGTTTTTTTCTTTTGCTTGAATTCAGCATAAAACGATATATCTTTGGTTAACATATATGTGAAAATAAATTTAAACAAGCAAATTCAAAGAATTGTGGTCCCCCGCTTTCGGTGTCTTTGTGGGCGAGATATTATTTATAAGGGTCAAGGTCAAAAGGTCAAAGTTATTGGTATCCCATGAAAGGTCTTGCCACAAAGAATACATATATTTGAAATATGAAAGTCCTAGTTTCTACCATTCAAAAGTTGTGACCAAGGTTAAAGTTCTTAAAAAGTAGTTAAAACTTCAAGGTCAAGGTCAAAGGGTCAAAGTTCTTGGTATGCAATGAAAGGACTTCTCACAAGGATTACATACGTGAAGTACGAAAGCCCTAGCCCTTACTGTTTAAAAGTTATGGTGAAGGTTAAAGTTTTTTCAGAAGTACGTAAATCTCCAAGGTCAAGGTCAAAATGTCAAAGAAAGGTCTTGCCACAAAAAATACATATGTAAAATATAAAAGTCCTTGTATCTACCGTTCAAAAGTTGTGACCAAGGTTGTAATTTTTAAAAAGCATTTAAAACTCTAAGGTCAAGGTTTAAAAGGTCAAAGTTCTTGGTATCCAATGAAAGGTCTTCTTACAGGAATAAAATATGTGAAGTATAAAAGCCATAGCCCTTACCGTTCAAAATTTATGGTCAAGGTTATAGTTTTTTCATAAGTACGAAAATTTCCAAGGTCAAGGTCCAAAGGTCAAAGTTTTTTGGTATCAAATGAAAGGTCTTGTCCCAAAAAATAGATATGTGAAATATGAAAGTCCTAGTACCTACCATTCAAAAGGTATGGCCAAAGTAAAAGTTTGGAATTTTTTAGTAAAAGTTGGTCATACTCCAAGGTCAAGGTCAAAAGGTCAAATTTGGTGGTACCCAAAGAAAGGTCTTATCACAAAAAATACACATATGAAATATGAAAATCATAGCTCCACTAAATCAAAAGTTATGGGCAAGGTTAAAGTTTTTGTGACGGACGGACAGACGGACGGACATACGAATGAGATTTAATGTCCCCTCGCTTTCGCGAAAGCGGGGGACAAAAAACAATATTTGGAACAATAATACGCTACCTCAATGCTACTGCGAAGTGAAAATTTATTTGATCGTTCTTTTTCTTCTAAATTTCATTTAAAGACAGAAAAATTGCGAAGAATGGTAACATGTTATTACGCTATATAGTGGAGTGACAATCCTAGAAAAAGATGCTTAGTTTTCGAGTTTAATGGACCGGCATACCCTACGGCTGAAAGTTATATTTTATAAAAGAGACGTCCCTCCTCATGCGTTTTCGCCCGGTCGTAGAGTTTTCTCAAGTCAAAATTTTTTTTTAACTTGTGATGAAAGTGAAAAAGGGGGGGGGGTGTATTTAAGTCATTAATTTTACTTGAAGATTATATTCTTTTTCAAAGATTAATTATTAATTTTAAAAAAGGACTTATTTGTGTGTGATAAGATAGCTACAGGTATCTAAATTAACAATGCAACATAAATCAGGAATATTATTTGCCCCCCCCCCCTTTTTTAAAAAAAACTTATGTTTTGTTATAGAAACTGCGTTAATTTCAACAAAATATATTCAATACAATTATTTCATCCAATATTAATAGCGAATGTTTACTTGAGCGTTAGAAAGATTTATAAGACAATGATTTCTAAACAAATAAACCGCACTTTTTTAAAGACATCCTCACACTAAGTCGTGTATTCTTCTTGATTTAAAATGTTTTGTGTAACTGGGAACGGATTTTAGAATCCCATTATGTCTATGACAGTGACTCCATCGATCAAAATATTGTTAAATATATTAAATTGGCTTCTATTATTAATAAGATAACGGTAATATTCAGTTTGAATTTAAAGTAATGAGCATTTGAAAGTAATTTTCCTTTTTCGATTTAAAAAAAAAAACGTAAAGGACAAACATGTCACTTTTCCTTCACATTCTTGTTTGAACAAGGTATCTTGCATGATTGGATATTGCCTTTCTACTTCATAAGCAATACAGATTAACGCAAGTATGAAACAGAGAGAAAAATGATTTTAGTATTTCATCTTAAGGACTGTCCATCACTTTACAGAAACTATCTGATGTTTCCTTCGGAAATATATTTAGTGTTCTCTACAGCAAAAACATGGTATTTGTCATTATTCAAACTAAGAGATACATATAATTTTGTTTACGCATTTCCTCATTTACATGTTCATACTGACAAAAATTCAACTCTGTTACTATAATCCTTTATGAGCGGGGGTATCGTATTTTGCTTATTTGTCTTTTGAAAAGACGTACCAGAAAGGAAGATATGAATCAAAGTGAACCGTAAACGCAATCCACTGAAGTTTTTGCTTGGAAAACTCCTGGTTTGTTCTGTCATAAGAAAGCTTTTTCGATATTTTCCTTTTGAGAAAGAATTATCAGTTTTGCCTCAAGAATTAATTGTCTAATATTAATTTTACAAATTTCAATGGAGACAGAAGACACATATATCACATTTTAATGTGATAGCTACATGTATGTGCTAGAACTTTTAAGCGATCCCTAATTAATTTTGGAATGTAATTTGTGTTATGATTTGTAATGAATTTGACTCTTTGCCTGAATAAACATAATAATAATAATAATAATAATAATAATAATAATATATACGGTAACTTTATAACCAACCACAGAAACAACAAGGGGTTATTAACATTCTTTTCAGGACTTCTGATGAAATGACAAAGATTAGTGAGTATTTAGGCAATCAGCCTTTTTTCAAAATTCAAAGATATTTCCAGTCAGCAGATGAAAAAAAGCCACGCACGACATATTTAATGTGAATATTGCCACTTGATCAACATTTTGCCCTGTTCTAATTATTATGTACCCACCTAAGTATCTTTTTATGGATCGGCTATCATTACTTTTACAGTGTAGCTCTTTTACAAATTTTCTACTTTTATAGTTTTCAAATGAAACATATTCTTGAAGTTAACAATAAAGATATACATGTACGTGCATGTTCATGAAAACCAATGAATAGAAATTACAGCTCTAGCAAACGTATTACGTCATTAATTTAACTCCACCCCTTTTCAAAGAACTGCAACTTTAACACCAATACGTGTTTAAAATCTTTAAAAACTCCAAATCTCTATGATATAACCTGCTTAATTTATGAGTAAACGCTTTTTCAAAATTTCACCAAATTCAACGTAAATTTTCAAATCATACACAACATTCATTGATAAAAAAAATTGCCTTTGTAGACAGAGAAATGAATAATATTAAGACTTTAAGTTTTCTGTTGTCTGTCCTTTGGATGAGACCGGAGTACCGAAATTCAGTGTGAGAGCAAGGATGACCTATAGAAGAATTTTTATTAAAAAAGCTTTTCAAAAAGCATTGAACAATATCTTTAAAAAATAATGAATCAGATGAAAAAGGATAAATAAAAATATTACATCTAAAAAAGTGCGAAATTTATGGTCATATTTCGTTTTTTTTTAGGGGTGGTGGGGGTGGTTAGGGGTGATGGGTGTCGTTGTTCTTCTTGTTTTAAGTTTTCTTTATTTTGTGTACTAAAAATTACGTGATTGTACGTAAAGAATAAGGTACACTAGCATTAAACCTTTTAGTTTGAATAAAATACAATAAGAGAAACCTTTCATTTTACAGACAGACAAACGGGCATTCTTATTCATTTTTTTCGTTCCTTTTCCATGAAATCAATATATTCATCGAATAAATAAAATTCCTATATACAAATACACATTATTTTCATGAATTACTTGAACTTTTCTTTATATATACAATATTATGGTCAGATTTCATTCATTGATCTTTGATCTCCCTTTATTTTAAATTTTGACCATAGAATTTTCTACGACCGGGCAAAAATTATTGCCTGATAATATATCTGACCAAAAAAGTACAAATCAGCCGTAGGGTAGGGTGGTACATTAAATTTAATTTTTTGATGGTCTTGTCACTCCACTAATACAAAAGACAGTGAATGAAAAGGAAATTCGATTGATTCACTGCATCTATAAGATTGTCTGTGTGCATGGGGTGAATGATGACACTGCTTTTTGGAAAATATAAAGGATACACGAAATATTTTTCAGTATGGCAGTTAAAATATTTTAATATATTTCAATATTTACAAATCAAAAAGGTGGAAATTTCATAAACAAATGAATGAGTTATATAATCCGCACACAGTTAAATAATAGATCTATAGATCAAGAATTAATGTGTGCGTTGGTAAGGAAGGGGGGTGGTAAAAATCTAAATGACAGAAACTTACAATTCCTCTGAACACGACTTAAAATAAATAAATACATTTACATTTTTTACCTCCCAAGTTTTAGATGCACAGGCGTAGGGAACACTGTGTTTAATGTTTATTCCTCATATGTAAGCGGTGTTCCATACACATTCTCCAACAAAGAACACCTCTAAAGAGGGTACCACGTGATATTTTACGCACGGACTTGTGAAAATATTCTTTTTCTCAAAGTAATCATCCTCATGTTTTAGCAAAATGTTATCACGATCATCGGCTTTGCAAAGTTTTTAGAAGAAATAATAAATGTATTTATTTTCAATAATCTATACAGCGTGTTTATTGACAATCACTAGACAAGGTTGAATTTTCATTTTTCCCTGTCATCTTTCTGCTTTTCAACATTTTCAACTATTTTCGACACTGTGTATTTTTTAGCAATACCTATACTTTGTTGAACGAATACTTCCAAGAGCAGCATATTAGCAAACTTCTAATGCAAGAACGCCGCTAAATCAAAGGCAGATCAAGGGATGGTGCCTCTAAAAACTTTGACGTCATTTTCTGTACATTGTGACGTCACGAGAAAATATTGACGACTTGTCAAATGTTGAGAAAAAAAAAAAACAAAGCAAATAAACCTTATGGCTATAACCTGGTCACTTTGGAGGGCTTCTGTAAACATGTAAACAGTGGTCCACAAAAGACATGCAGATGTGGAAAGCATACACTAACGAGAAAACATCTTCATTTTTTATGTTTTTAATGGATTGAACTGAGAACTAGGCTGTATTAGAATCTGTTTAGCCTACCCTATTTACCACGCATAAATAATGCATTTATGCTAAAAAAAAGGGATTTATGGTTGTGTTTACATAATTTACAGTAACCTTTCTTATGAAAGATTTAATCCTTGCCGTGCTAGGTTTTATTAACATGGAATTATATAAAGGTAAATTGCTTTCTGCATGCGCAGCTGAGCAAACGACATTCATAAATATTAAATTTACACATGGGGCGCATTCCTCTCGGAGAAAAAAACTTGTTGAAAAATACGCGTAAGATACCAATATTTGATTTTAAACTTGAATTTTTTTTCCGAGAGGAATGCGCCCCACTTGAAATTTTAAAGTGAATCTGTAAAATCGGTGAAAAATTCCGGAAAAGTCAAAACCCTTATAGGTTTTAGCCGTTACGATGAAGAAACCATTATCCGGTTTGACTAAAACTACCCACCCCTGCATTGACGAAGTCGAGTAGATATGGAAACCACAAATAGTTTTCAAGAAAACGATGATTTATTTTTTAAGAAATTCACAGGCCATATTGTACTTTCTGACTTTTGTTCTTTAAACGGCGACCTTTAAATGTTCAAATTTTACTTATGTACCATTATAAAGCTACAAAAAAACTTGAACTGCTTTTTATTACTTCACAATGCTTGTTTTTCTTTTTTTTTTTTTACATTTAATTTCAAAAGATTGCAACGAGGGATGGTATGGGGAAAACTGCTCCAGACGTTGCAGCTTTCATTGCCAAATGAAATCCTGTCATAATGTACATGGAGAGTGTCACTATGGATGTAAACCGGGATGGACAGGTTCACATTGTAGTCAAGGTATGTATATGTACGGAGGTCTAGAAATTGAAAAGTATTCACAAAAACAAAGGTGAATGTTTTTAATTTACAAATGTATTCAAATTCAATATTAATATCATAAGAATTGGCAGACAGGGAAAAGGGGGTTTTTGAAGCTATCGCTTTCTTTTGTTTCATCTGATTGGTCGGCAAAAATTTCAAAAAGCAGATTCGCCTACATCAGAAACCTGATTATTGCTGCAAATATCTTCTAATAGCTAGCTATGTTTAAGACATGCAGAAATTGAGTTCTGTCGGTACAAGGATTTTTCTTTTTGAGACAATTTTCTAATAGGTCGAGAAGCTGTTAAGAATGAGGGGTTACGAATATTAATTTTATATGAGCTTTATTCCTTGTTTTGGAATACAAACATCAATTTTCAATATTTTCCAAATAGTGCCCTTCTTTTTAACTATGATAAATAAATTTTTCTATATAACATCGATTTTTTTTTTAAATTGTTGTTACAAGTCTTTCTTAATAACGCCTTAAATAATATGTGATTTCTTCGAAGACTTTGCTTAAAATAATGCTACTTTTAAAGTTAAATCACAAAAAATTGAGGAACCTTATCACGCATTTCTACAAGATACCAGAGGATGGTATTGTCTATATAATACTTTTGTAAATAACTTTGATTGCCAAAATCAATAATTTTACTGGCAATAAGAAACCTGTCACAAGAAATCAATCACAAGGTAAATTATTATAGTTTTAAATATTTTTTGATATATTACGATATACATAACAGATTTCTTAGGAACGCATTGCCTGACCTTAATTTAAGCTAATCGCAGTTCGGGAAATTATATATTACGTGCTGTAATATTACGATCTGATCGTCACAACCTCTCAGATGTTTGAGCAGCATCAAAACAATCTTGAGGATAAAAGAATTTTGTCGGCATTACCAAGCATTCAGGGAAAGCCCCTGATTCATCAGATTACAATGTGAACATTTATGCACTCTCCAACGATAAAGTACTTTAGGCCAACACGAATTGTTTGCAACACCTAATCAAGATAGTGTGATTGGGGCTTTTTGGAAATGCATCATACGTTTAGTTTGTTGATTTTAATTGCTTGAAAATTCATTCTGTACATGATCGTAATTAACGTGCATGTAGTGAAATGTTACTGCAAAGCTAACATGAAATTGAAGGTTCATACATTGTAATTATATATATATATAATTGCAAGTGACTGTGTAGCGTAATTTCTTAAATATTAGTCATAACTATATTTATTTGTATTTTTTTAACACAAGGTAATTTTTCTTTAAGCTTGCAGTATGGGATTTTACGGAGAAAACTGTTCAAAAACATGCAGTACATTTTGCCGTACCAGCCTTTATTGTAATAGCACTGATGGACACTGTGTAAAAGGCTGTATGAATGGATATTTGGAACCAAAATGCGATAAAAGTGGGTTTAATACATTTGTCTTGGCTAACATCATCAATTTCTAAGTTAAATTTTTTAACTTTAAGTTACTGTGATACACAGTTGACATTGTATTTGGCGATTTAAAATTGTTCTCTGTTTTCATAATGCACAACCGGTGTTGAGGTAACTGTTTGTACAATTATATTGTAAGGTTGCACTAGAGACTGGTATGGCAAAAACTGCTCCCAACGTTGTAGCGAAAACTGCATCAACTGGGCATGTGATCCCAGAGACGGTAAATGTGTGTTTGGATGTAAACCAGGTTGGCGTTCGCTGAACTGTTCTAATGGTATTATCACTTTCTATCCTAAATAGTAGTTAGGGTTGCAGTTTTTCTACGGACATATCATCTCCGCACAAAAAGGCGCTTCGACCTCTCATATTTCCGAATATTCCACTCACGTAAGAACAGCACCTCCTCTTTTTTCCTGCGCACACAGATAGGTGCCATCACGTGTATATAAGGGGTCATTTTTCATATGCTATTTAATGTTATGGACAGAACTTATAAATGTAATACATTCAGTTTCAAGGCTCTGGATTTATGTATAATTTCACCATTACTGCGTGTGATTTATTTTCCAGATAAATCAATACAAAAGCTTTCACTTGTTTGCAACCGGTACATACCATAAAAATCTTTTTTTTGTCTTTTGTCTTTTGTTGAAAGATATTTTACATTTTAGAATGTAAAGTCGTCTTTTCTTTATCTAGTATGCAATGTATTTCATATCATGGGATCTTTCCATTTAGCAGGAACATAAGCTTTCATTTGATTTATTCTTGTTCTTGTCTACATTTTTCCAGCAAATCTCAGACATGCTTATTCCAATTTTATACACATTATATAGTTATACAGTAAAGGAGTGAGTATGATGGAATACCAAATTATGCTTCTTTGAGGGAGAAAACGTTTTCCCGCGGCCGCGAATAGTTTCCTTCCCAGGCGAACTATCAACTGATCTTTCCGACGACATAATATAACGCCACAGACTCGAGATTTCTTGACCGCACTGCACTGTTCATATTATACAGAATATATACGAGAGAAATAGCAAATTTATGGTTCCCCGAGGGAAATGGTTTCCTGACGAGGGGAATCATAAATTAGTTTCGGCGGCAAATAGTTTCCTGTCGATGGGAACCATAAATTAGCTTTTTCTCGAGTTCCCATTTCATAATTGTTTTATTATACCGACACAATCCGGTTTACACTATGCATCTTGACACATGCATCTAAACTCATGCTTCAATTTTGCCTCATGCATCTTCTTATTTACACTATGTGTCTTGATGCATGCATCTTTAGAATACTTTGTAAAGATGAAATTTCTCTCCTTAAAAAAATAACAGTACCTTCAAATTTCATTTCCATATTTATTTTAGCAAAACAAATTATTCTTAATTTAAATTATTCTTAATTTCCTTTTTATGACAATTCTTGGAAGATATAATTCATATTTATTCCAAAACAAAAATTCCTCTATATTATAATAATCAAATAAGTTTTTCTAATTGTAGTTTTAATCAGTATTTTCTGTTTTTGTGTATCTTGGGAAGCTATTTTTGAAACTAAATGAAAAAAATAAGGTTTATGATTCAATATCAACTCTGACCTTTCTTTTCATTGGTCAGTTCCATGCATCTTGAAGCACGGAATAGAACAAGTTCTATTCCATCGTTCAAGATGCAACACCCATTTAATTTGACACAAGGGGCTTTTACACTGTGAATCTTGACACATGCATCCAAGATGCATGCTTCAAGATGCATAGTGTAAACCGGCCTATAGGCGATTTAATTTTTTTTAACCAGATATTCCGAAATTTAAAAAAAAACAATGTAGAGGCATAATTACACTGACATTTCGAAGAATTATCGTTGTCTTCTTCTTTCTAGCCTAGAATTCAAATAAAATTTGGATGTTTCTCGGGGACGGGTGAGATTCATTCCGGAAATAAAAAAGCGCATGCGTCAAATTTTCAATCTAAAGAAATGTTCCTGAGTAACTCTATTCTTTCCGAAATATTTATTCACATGTTTTATTTCCTCTAAAGTTAACAATTTTGCTGTACAGCCCTCTCAAAAAGTGTTTTATGATCCAAAATAATGCTTACTCCTAACAAAATCGATTCTGTCATCTTCAGGGGATGATAATCGTGTACTCGGCGGGCGGGGGGGGGGGGGGGGTGCACGCTAATAAAGAACAAATTATTCTATTCCAAGATAATTTAGGAAAAATTCTTTATGCTTCAATAAAGTTAAAGAATAAAAAATAAATAGTATAATAAAAAAAAAACACCTCGCTGTACATCTACTCCACAACTCTATTGAAAAGGGGGGGGGGGGTTGTTGTCACTAACAGGTAATGAAAAAAAAATCATATATATCATGTACATACATTTCATGAAAGGCAGTCTGATTAAAACCAGCCCCTTCTCCTTTCACTCGTCAGGGAGGAGAGGGGGGCTGGTTTTAATCAGACTGATT